TAGAATAATAATTGAAGAAAAGGCCAAGATGATTTCGCCCACTGTTATGGACGGGAACAACTCTTGTTGTTGGGTCAACTATGCAACATAACTGAAAGAAAGTGGACATAATTGAGTAGAATAATAATTGAAGAAAAGGCCATGATGATTTCGCCCACTGTTGTGGACGGGAACAACTCTTGTTGTTGGGTCCACTATGCGCGTGAATCACATACTACTTTTCATTTTGTTATTTTTAATCAAAATCTCTTGGAGGGTTAGGTATTTATTACTATCTTAATGCTATTCAATTTTGGGCCTAAGTGTGTGACTTTCTATGATTCGACTTAAATAAAAAAAAATGTATTCTATTTAAAAATTATATTGACCTTTTTCAAAATTTAAAAAACTTGTAATGTGCTCCACGATTTTTAATATAAAATTTATCTGGCTCCATTAAAAAGGCTAATTTTTTTAACAGTATATTATTATTTTATGTAATCAAATTTTTATTTTTACCTTCATAGCAGTTAGCATGGGACATCAAAGTACTTTTTATCCCTAACCACTATTTTTATGTCAGAGGTTGTTTGAGATGATTTCAATAAATATATTTTTTGACTTTTTATAAAATAATGTGTAAAAAAATAAAGAGGTGATATGATTCAAATAAATACACTTATTTAACTATTTGTTTTTAGAATTAGGTGGTGGTGGAACTACGAGTACGGTGTAATTGAATGAAAAGATTATTAGTGATGTAGTATTAAATTAAGGAGATTTATTAGAAAATTCTTTTTCAAGTGTTTGTATTTCAATTAGTCTAGAAGATATTCTTGTATTTTAATAAGTCATATTATTTAGACATTTAATTCACCAAATCCTAATTCTCATGTTTAAGGTATTTTATAGATATTTTTATCATTACAAATATTTTTTGAACAGTTAGCAATTTGGTAATGTGAATATTCATATTTTACAATGTGAATATTCACATTGATGTGCGAATGTTCACATTCATATTGACATGCTAACATTCACATTGACATGCTAACATTCACATTGACGGTGTGAACATTCACATCACGAAACGTTCACATGGTAAATGTGAATATCATTATTAGGGTATTTTGGTAATTATATCGGCCATAGGACTTATTGGAACCTAAGAAAATAATGTAAATTAAATGAAATATAAGTAGGTGAAAAGATATTTATGAAAAAGTATCCCATTAAATTAGAGATGTAATATAAATTATATTTATTTGTATGATAATATGGTGATATTAATTAGTTATAATTAAATCTATGAATTTACTTCATTAATCTTACCACTTTTGAATTAAAACAAACAAAGCCTTACGACTTGCTTGATCATATTTACAGTTTTGTTATTATATTACAAAAACTTAAAAACGATAAAAAAAATGGTTTGAACCGCTAGAGATAAGAAGAGGGGCACTGAAGCTGTTGAAAATCTCAAAATTTGTGGGCTATATGATATTGTCTTTCATCAACTTGACGTTTCAGACTCTGCTAGTATTGCTTCTTTGGCAGATTACATCAAAAATAAATTCAGAAAGCTCGACATATTGGTAAGATTATTGGAAGTTTCTAATTGATAGTGGTTGTGAAAGAGTCATACCAACATATATTTCTTTCACAGTCAAAAACAGTTAAAATTTTATTTTAAATTCAAATTGAATTGCAACCTTAGATATTGGAATGGAGATCTTCATTCCAATAATGTAATGAAAATTATCTAAATTTGCTCTTATGATGAAAAAAAAAAAAAATCATAAATAAAGAAAATGAACTAAGTTAAAGTGTATATGGTAAAAATGTGTAATAAATTTTCCGTTTATGTAATTTAATGAAAATTGTGGTTCAAACTTCAAAGATGAGTGGCTGTTGGTTAGAGCTTGTTTGCAAAGAAGATCTAAGTTAAAATAGTCATATAAAATAAAGTTGACTATTTTAATTAAATAAAATAAAATATTATATGTAATTATTTTATTTTTTTTCTTATAAAAATTAAAAAAATCTATCATAAACGAAACTTTTTAGCCTTAGGCGGTTTTGTTTGACAACCTTCACTTTTAGCTAAAAAAAATCAAGAAATCACTATAAATTATCATATCGTTTTCTCTATTTTTTTACATTTTTTTATAAAAATTTTAAAAATCAATAAAATAACTTATTCTTAAACAAGTCAATTCACATCCCCAAACGAGCTCTTACTGCTCGTTTGGCAAGTAGGGTTCGAAATTTTTTTGGTTAAAATAGTTACAAAAAATAAAATAAATTTTTTAACGCAATAAGACAAAAAATCACATTCAATTCATAATCATTATATTTTTTCTCACACAAAAAATTAAGAAAAAATCGGTCTAGGATCCCTCTCCCACTTTTCGTAATGGAAGAGGTCCACAAAATTATTTTTTGATGTCTAAGGTTCTAAACATATATCAGACAAATTTCAGTCAAACCCACCGCCATTCTTACCCACAACCACACAGACATGTACTTACATACATACATATAGAGAGAGAAACCCAGAGCTTTCTAGAGAGAGAAAATGAAGATGATTGGAACAACACTCCTTTCTCTTCTGAAACCATACGCCGTCGCCGTGAATACAAGAAGTTGCGAATCTTGATGAATCGCAGCATGGTGAGAAGTCTTCCACAATTAGAGCTTTGAGAAAAGACAATCTGTCCAGGATGCACTATCTATAAGTGGACCAGGGCTCAAACCGATGAAGATGGAGTCGAAGGAGGTGTGAACCAGAAGCTCCAACCACCGCTGAACCGAAAGCTCCAGCTGTTGAGCCTGTGAAAGTAGAGTCCGCGGAGATGAACCAGAAGCTATAGCCATTTCGCTCCCCCTATGGTGACCCTGTTTCAGCAGCACCACCCTCTTCCTCCTTTCTTTCTTTCACTCTTTTTCTTCTTCTAGATCTAAAAGAAACCACACCCAGTTTTGCTATTAGAGAAAAAGTTTTCAAATTAATCATCTTGAATCCATACAAGCAATACTGCTTTTCAATTCTAGCCACCACCAGCAAATTCCAATATAATATTTCATTTTCTCTTTCTAACTTCTCTCTCAATTAAACCCACTTCTTTGTGTATTTAACTTTCATTATTCAAACATATTTTTCAGAAGGTAAATATCGTTTATGGGATCGAATAAAATAAACATCATTTATGCTATAAAATGTATAGAACAAATGAATTTATTGTATATAATTTGAGTATCACTACAACACCAACAAAGATCAATATTTGGAGAACTATTTCCTCACCTGAACTTGGACAAACCAAGTAAAGAAACCCACCTATTATTGTTTTGTTTTATATATTGCTTATTTGTGTATTTGTTTGTTTTAATTTATAAATATATATATATATATATAGAGAGAGAGAGAGAGAAAGATGGATTGAAGCTAAAGGGGTAAGTGCAGATCCGCCTCTTTCTCTGTTTTTTTTTGTTTGGACTGAATTTTTTTTTATTTGAACTGAATTTTCTCTGGGTTAAAGAGAATTTCTCTGGAAATGTTTATTTAGGAATTTCATTGACTTTGAGAGATTTTCTCTGGCTTAAAGTGATTCAGAGAAATTCCTAAAGATATTTTTCTTTTATCTCCCATGCTGAAGTGAGTAGATTTCTTCATAATTTTGTGTATTTTGTAGAATCAATTGTTAATGTCTCCCCAGTTAAACATATTCTTTTGCTTTCGAATGTCTACTACTTGCTGTTTCAGTTATTTGCAGTGTATGTTACTGAAAATTGTTTGATGATAATGAAAATGATTGCATTCTTTTTCAAGTTTGATAGGCGTTCTTTTAGTATTTCCTTGACTATCTCTGCAAAAATTAGGACACTAGCAAATAAGAATAAGAAATTATCAAGACAAACCAGATAATTTCTCTGGATCAACCCAATTGAATTTCTCTGGGTTGAAGTGTCCAGAGAAATTTCAAAGACCAAAAACAGAATTTCTCTGGGTTGTTGTTGTTGTTTTTTTTGGTGATGCAGAAAATTTCTCTGGTTTTAAATCCAAAGAAATTCTTTGGTGATGGGATTTTCTCTGTGAATATGTATCCAAGTCACCGCAAAATTGATTGGTTCTATAGTGGATAGAATTTTGAAATTTTTTATGTGATTTGTTCGGAGAAATTTGAAATTTTCTCTGTGATGTCCAGAGAAATTTTATGGATAGAATTTTCTCTGGAAATTTGATTTGGAATCTGATAAAAAGCTTCATAGTTTTAATATAGGGAATCATTCCTACTTAAAGACTTGTGCCACAGTTGGGGCATTTGGGTCTCTGGAGTCGAGTGGCAGTGGAGATGGTAACAACAGTAGCAACAATGGTGGAGGATCAAACCCAGATTTTTCCAGAATTTCTCTGGTTCTGGTAAGTTGCCATTGTTATCCCATTCTAATGTTGCTTACATATTACAATGTGGAATTTTTCCAGTTGAATTCAGTTGAACAATGTTGCTTACCTAATGAATCACAATGATTTGGATGTGAATGAGAAGAAAAGTAGAGAAACTCATCCAGGAAAATTTGGTCCAGAGAAATTTCTCTGGGCCAGAATTTCTCTGGGCCAGAATTTCTCTGCACTGAAATTTCTCTGGACCAAATTTCTCTGGACCAATTTTCTCTGGACTGAAATTTCCCTGGATCAAGGTTGAGGGACCTTAGACATTATAAAAATATTTGATGTCCTTTATGTTATAAAATTATAATACCAGGGACCTTAAAAAAAAAACCCCAAAAATTAAAAATATTAAAATTCTTTGTAAACTAAGCTTTTTAATTCTAAATTAAAATAATTAAAAAATCAAAAAAACGAACCTTAATAATTTCCAAGGTTCTAGAGTCGTACGCGTACAAGTGAATTCTTTCCGTTGTACCCCCAAAAAAAAAGAGACGTACAAGTAAATATACAACAAATATATAATACAACAACTTCTTTGAATGTTCTGTGCTTTGAGAAATAAGAGAGAGAAGAGAAGTCAAACGCGTCTTATCTCACGATATAACGAAGCGCTTTGGTCTCTCCTCCAAATCGATCAATTCCACAGACACACACCCCAAACTAACTCTCTTCCCTCCCAAATCCGAAATTCACTCCTTTGCCGTCAATTCGAACCCCAAATTTCTTCCTTCAAATTTCCAAAATCAATCCCAAAAACACTGATTTGGCTCTCGCTTCTCAATCGAGATTCAAATCCACACCAATTTGGAGGAGAGAGAGAGAGAGAGAGAAGAGAAGCCATGGAAACTACTGCTGGAACTCTGTGCAAACGCAGCCTCGGCCGTAGCAACACCTCCTCTTTTCGCCTCCGAAGCCCTAGTCTCAACTCCCTCCGTCTCCGCCGCATATTCGATCTATTCGACAAGAACAACGACGGCGTAATAACCGTCAACGAGCTCAGCCAAGCTCTCAACCTCCTCGGCCTCGACGCCGAGCTCTCCGAATTAGAAACCTTGGTGAATTCACACATTAAAGAAGGCAACACTGGCCTCCAATTCGACGACTTCGAATCCTTACACAGATCGTTGAACGACACGTTCTTCGGATTCGATGATGCGTTGCCGGAGGAAGAAGAGGGCGGCGATGTTGCGGCGGCGGCTGAAGCGAAGGCGAAGCAAGAGGAATCAGATCTGAATGAGGCGTTCAAGGTGTTTGATGAGGACGGCGATGGATACATATCGGCGAGAGAATTGCAAGTTGTGCTTGGGAAGCTAGGGTTAGCTGAAGCTAGAGAGATGGACAGAGTCGAGCGGATGATCTTGTCCGTCGATCGTAACAACGATGGCCGTGTTGATTTCTTCGAGTTCAAGGACATGATGCGCAGTGTCATGGTTCGCAGCGCTTAATCATCGTTTGTTTTTTCTTTTTTTTCTTTTTTTCTCTCCCTCCTCAAGACTGTGTTTGGATTGTAGGAATTTGTGGGGAGAAAGTGAAAGGAAAAGTGAAAAGGATCATTTTCCTCTTCCATTTTTCTTTTTTCTCTACAAATTTTCTTTTGTGTCAAATGCAACTTGCGAATACTGTCATCATGATTGTGTTTGAAACATACTGTTCTTGGTCTTGGTCATCCATCAATCAACACATGTTGTCGTTGCTCTTTTGAATCATTGATTTTGTGTTTAAAACTGGGTAAAAATTGGTTTGAGTGATGTAGGTTATGAGATTATTTAGGTGGAAATTAGTTATTAATTTTTCTAAATTGGGAATTTTATGTATGTTAGCTTGTTTTTATATGCATGTTTGTGCTTAAATCTTGGGGAAAACTACATATAAATAACTACAAAGAAAGGGAGGAATAAAAAAAAAAAATATTTTGTAGTTTGATAAAAATTGGCCCGAAATAGTTCGAATACTCAAAACGGCATCGTTTTGGATATTTATTTACTTATTTTTTCTTTCCCTTTCCTCTCTAAAATAGATAGAAGGAAGAGAGAAGGGACGAGAGAAAAAAGAAGGAGAAAAGATGGAGAGAAGAATGAGGAAGAGAAGAAGGAGAAGGAGAAGGCGAAAAAATGGAGAGAAAGAAGAGGAGGAGAAGGAGAAAAGATGGAGAGAAGGAAGAGGAAGAGAAGAAAAAAAACAGAGAGGGAGAACAAAACTGTATACACATAGATCTATGTGTATATACACAGATCTATGTATACACACAGAGGAGACGCTGATGGCGGCGCCGATGGGTGGCTCTTTCTCTCTCTCTCTATCTGTGGATGGGTGGCTCTATTTCTCTCATATATATATATAGATGTGTATACATATATAGATATGTGCATACACACAAATCTAGAAACGTCGATGGGTGGAGGGGGCGGCGTCGATGGGTGGTGCTCTCTCCCTCTCTCGGTTTCCCTGTCCTCTTCTCTCTTTTTCCTCTCTTCCTCTCTCTTTCTTCTCTCCTCTATTTATTTCAGAGAGAAAAGAGGAAAAAAGAAAGAAAAAAATTCCAAAATGATGTCATTTTGAAATTTGAGCTAATCGGGCCAGCTCCCTTTTGAGCTACTTAGCAGCGTTGTAAAAAAAATGCCAAGCGCTAAAATCCACCCTCGGAGCATCTCCAATGCTAAATAAGTAAAATGAATAGTTAAAGTTATAATTTAGTAATGAGTAGTATAAAATAGTAATCGGATAGGGTTGTTCCCAAGGGTCAAATTATTATTTTTTAGCTTAATCAATTTTTTGGTGGTTAATTGGGTGTTTGTTCGCACAGTTGTTCAAATTGGCAACTTTAACAAACATTACGTGGGCCATCCAGATGGTTGTCTAGACAGTAGTTCAAAATTTATTGTCTCTCTTTTTGTTATGCCGACAACTTTAGTTATAGGTAAAATTTGTAACAAATTTGATATAAGATATAACAATGGTTATTTTTAGCAGTTTCAATAATAAATCATTAAAATATTATGGGTGTGTTTGATTTGTGTTTTAAGATAAATTTTCAAAAAAATTTGAGGAGAGAGTTGAATTTTTTTTATTTTGTTTAGTTGTATATTTTGAAAATAATTTTGGAGTTTGGAGTTTGAGATGATTTGATATTTTGTTGTAGTTGAGTAGATGTGTGTGAGAGAAAAAAAATGATTGGAAATGAGAGAGGAGAGAGAAAAAGTAATTGATTGATGTGTAATAGAGAAATAAATAATTTTTAATTTTTTTTTGAAAAATTTATAACCAAACCTGTTTTTAAAATATGTTTCAAAATACAAATCAAACAGAGCCCTATCTTTTCACACCTGCTATATTTTGCCTTCAACAAAAAGGTTCAGTGGAGATGCTCTTATAATTAAGGGGGTTTTTTTTTAAGGTCCCTGGTATTATGATTTTATAGCATAAAAGACACATAATATTTTTATAATGTCTAAGACCCCTTAACATCAATCCAGAAAAAATTCGATTAAGAGAAAATTCAATCCAGAGAAAATTTAATCCAGAGAAATTCTCTGGTCCAAACCAGAGAAAATTCAATTTAGAGAAATTCAATTCAGTCTAAAGTTTACCTCTCATTATAGCCAAAATGAGGTGTACAGTTCTAGAAACCACATTCCTTGGTGGAGAGTGATGGTTCCCAAGGGTTCTGATGAAGTAATGAATGAAAGCAAAAGGAGTGATTAAACTCATTCTTCACTCCAATGCATTCAATACCAAAAGCTCCATTCTCTGAATAACTTTGCTCTTAAAGTTGCAATCCAATTGAAACTCTGAGGTGATGGTACTCTGTATTCCTCCATCTTCGTTGCCAAAGACAAGCACGCCACTGATAGCAATTGCATCGCCCACCACTTGTCACTCTGCTTTTAATTATAATAACCAACAATCAACCAAAAAACTTTAAAATTCATAATCAAAATTGAAATTGAAATCAAACTTACATCAATAGCTCGCCTCGAAAGAAACTGGTCAAAATGAACCAAGAGAAAATTCAAATTTCTCTGGTCCATTACTCTTTTCACCATTGCACCATTACTCTCTTTGTTGCTGCTGTGACCGGAATTATGAGCAACCTCATGACATTTGGGTTCTTCTTCTAACTCAGACATTTGGGTTTTTCTCCCAGAGAAATTTACTCAAACTCAGAGAAAATCGCCTTCCAACCTAGAGAAATTCACTGAAATCCAGAGAAAACTAGAGAATTTCTCTGGTTTCAACCCAGAGAAAATTCAGTTTAAATGATCATCTGAAGAGCCACTATCTAATGCTTTTCTTCATCACTCAACTTACTGGTTTTAGTGTTTGGGCCAAAGATCTCTTCAATCATGTTCCCAGTTGACACAAAGTCAAAATCTTCAAATGGGCTTATTGGGTACCTGGCTTCCCAGAGTTTAGCATCACATGGTTTCATAAAAAAACCGGGGTTCAACCTGTCACTCGACCCATCATCAATCATGAAAAAACCCAGACTCACCAATACACAGGTCGCGGAAGTGCAGATAGAGAATCTGCACCCAATAGAGCTGAGCACCATGTACATGAGTGCGAGGTCGTAGACACGCCGTCGGCCCATACGATTGCCGAGGTATCCGAAGATTAGCTGACCGATGACGGTCCCTAAGAGTGCGATGGCGACCATAGCGGAGGTGATGGCGATGGGGACTAAGTTACGGTGAGAACGGCGGGAATCGATCCGAAGATTAGCTGACCGATGACGCATCTCATCTTCGACCAATCGATCCACAATGTTTAGTTGGGAGAGAGAACCTGGAAGTTGAAACTGGGAAGAGGAGGGAGGTCATTGAGGAAATCAGAGGGTTTCTTGGAGCTGCGACACATCTCATCTTCGACCAATCGATCCACCTCTTCTTTGACTTCGACCAAATTTCTCTGATACATGTTTAGGGACCTTAGACATCAAAAAATAATTTTGTGGATCTCTTCCATTACGAAAAGTGTGAGAGGGACCCTAGACCAATTTTTCCTATTTTATTTGGGATAAATTATCAATAAGTCTTAATAGTAAGACTTTTATCAAATCGTACTGAAAATAAGTTTTAATAAAATCATCACTAAAAATAATTTTTAAAACAATTTTTTTACATATATTGCTAAAAATTGACAATTAATAATTTTTTTATCACAATTTTTATAAATTGTTACAAAACTTACAATTAATAACGTTTTTCTGTGACAAATGAAATTTTTTTAAATTGTCTCTAAAACTTATAATTAGTGACATTTTTTGTGATAAATTTTTAAATTGTCATTGAAAATTAACAATTACTGACTTTTTTTAATAGCATTTGATAAAAAAATCATTAATTATCATAAAACTTATTAGATAATAAATTCATCTATTAAAATCTATACATAAGTTCCTCTTTTATTTTTAAGGTTATTAATCAATTTTGTTTTAAAGATAAATTATACTGGGGTGGTGCCTTAATTAATTTTTTATTAATCAAAATAGCGAGACTCACTCATCAAATTTAATTTGTTTGATAATCATAACTCTTTGATTTATTATTAAAGAAAATAGTTGATAAGCTATGATTTTAAAAAGCATATTGAAAAATAAATATGATAAATTTATATAGTTGCACGAACACGAAATAATGTTCTCGTATAATCCTGTTGACCAAGTCTGCGCTCCTCCAAGCACACTCACTTTACTCCCTGAAAACACAAACATGAGCTAGCTGGCGGGTGTGTGCCGGATACCTTTCCGATGCCTAAGTCAGCAAAACAGACAAATAGACAAAAGCTCTATGTATTCAACAATCAAAGTTATGTTACCTCTCCATAGGTGATGTTGTGAGCTTTTATAGGTTCCGCATGGCATAATCCTAGTAGGACTCTTATTCCTCCATGTAGAGTCCTCCTAGGAATCACACTCCTAAAAGATAATGCTTATCCTTCAACACCCCACTCACTACTTAAACCAAGTGAGATGGTTTTACCTCGGTAATATGACAACACGACCGAACTACCATAGCTATGCTAAAGCTGCAGAAATGATCGAGCTCCAACTAGTTCGATTCTTCCCTTCATTGCTTGTATCTTGGTATGGTCTGTCGAGACCGAGCTAACCGTAGTAAACTCCGACCAGGCTATCGAGAGCAAGGTTCACTAGAAGCCCAAATACCTCGGTTCTGAATACCATGACCGAACTAATTATCACCATACCGACCGTGGTAACCACCATTACAATTAGACCGAGCTAACCGCAAGGTCCTTTTACTCATCCCTTTTTACTGCGGCCCAAAGAACGACCCATTACCGCGCCTTGGCCTAGCTCGGCCCTAGTGCGCATAAAAACTTCCCTCTCAATTGCCCCTTAATTCCATCTGCGCAGCATGATTGGGATTACCTATTATCAGCCGAGCTAAAACTTTTAGGTTTTCAACCGAGATAAAATACCGCCGAGCTACCGAATGGTTTGGTCAAAAAATGTCTTTTTAGTCATGCTGTACATCTGAATCGCTTGCTCTCCCATAGACACGTGGCTGGCCTCGACTGGTTGAGTACAACTGTCAACGCCGCCCTCGTACTCCGAAATTTTTAAACAGTCCCGCATTTTCTTTGCCTTATACGAAAAACCTCTTTTTTGAATCAAAGACACTCCTGTTCACCTTCTAGAGAAATTCTCTGGTCCAAACCAGAGAAAATTCAATTTAGAAAAATTTAATTCTGTCTAAAATTT